GTGGATCAGGGACTACTGGTCCTACAAGAAAAACAGGTTTATTGAATTGTGCTTTCACGTATTCTATATAAGGGCCTTCCATTTGAGAACAAGTCTTGACTAGTATAGCAGAGCAACCCTTGAGTCCTGAGAGTACACGGTCATATACAGTAGGACCGCCATGGAAGCTCTTGAAAATGTATAGAAAATCTCGAGCCTCAAAAGTTTTGACTGAAGTGACAGAGGTGTGAGGAAATCCAGGTGGAGGTTTTGTCATGTCTTCAAGACGGGGATATTTTTTGGGTTCAGGGACTCTAGCAGGGCAAGTAAGAAAAGCAGTGGAAAGTGCAACAAAAACAGAGTAAAAAACAGTCTTGATACCTAATTCATCAACCATTTTTGGGAGCCATTCTTGAGCAAAATCAAAGAGAACAAAATGGGGTTTGAGATGGGTGAGTAGAGTCCTGATTTGTGGTTGCATAAGGTCTAAAGCAACTTTGAGAAGTTCTGCAGTTACTGGTGTCAACTCAGCAGTACTTTCTGCACCAGGAGGTAGACCTTCAACTTGAGGAAGAGTGAGAGGGACTATATGAGTAGTGGGAGCAGAATTCAACATAGATTTGACTCTGGTCGCATTGCCAGATGCGGTGAAGAAAGAAACTTTGACATCATGAGAGGAGAGCTTGTTAGCAAGCTGCACAAATGGACTAATATGACCAAAAGCAAAAAATGGGAACATAACTACATGAAGAACATCATTTGACTTCTCATTCTCCATGATTGATTCTGTAGTATAATTATGAGTGTGTGTTGTAGTATTAGCTATGCAAATAATCGGAACTTCCATATATAGTAAGACATGGAGAAGCCAAAGTAGGAGTAGGACCAAAAAGAGTAGAGACACGGGAAGAAAGCAGGATGTAGAATGGTAGGTAGAATGAATGGTGAGCTGATGAGCATTTTTAGGCCTCGTGGACAAACCGTCGATCAACAAAAACTTGCGGTATATTCTGTTGTAGGTTAGTATAACCATTTAATGACTCTTGAATGACCGCCACTTTAACGAGTAATAGTAGTTGTTTGGTACAAAGGTATCTTATATCTTATGTACCATATAAATACTATTTATTTAGGTGTTAAATTTTTTTACTTATTTTTTGTTATATGTTACGGGTAAAAGACACTACTAGTCATTTTAGTCAAGCTACCAAAATAGCCCAAAAAAATTACCAATGATATACAACATTCAAAAAATATAGGCAGAAAAGATCTTTTTCAATGGGTGGTATGGCGATTCATAAAAAACACATTGATAAGGCAATATACAAAATTTGACAAAGTTTGAAGGTGAGTTAGACTAGTTTGGAGTTAAAATTCATTATCAATATAAACAATATTTTAAAAAAAAGGCAACAAAGGATTTTTTTTTTCTCCAATGGGTATGGTTGGAAGTCGTTGAAAACATATGAGGCATTATACATAATTTGAGCAAGATTGGAGGTGATCTGGAGTGGTTTGGTATCGAAATTCGTAGTTAAAATTGAGCTTATTTTTTTTTTCTTTAACACATGTATCAAACATGTATCATGTGGTTGATATACATGTGATACACATTTGATACACATATAATATTCAAATAATACATAGTGTGATATACCTATTAGGGGCGGATTCACCTTAGAGCTGTTTGGCTTTTAAGAGTGAATCTTATATACAAAATTTTTAAAAAAAATTGGTTCCATATTGCAGTGTGAACCCATGGTGGAAAACATATGCTGGGTTCCTTACTGCCTTAATTTCTTAGAGCTTCTGTTAATGTATACCCATGGCCCAATGTTCCAGATTAATGAAAGCAATTGCTAATTTCTTTTGAAAATTTTACTCCTATAGCAAAGATTTACACCATATTTATTATAAATAAAAATCTTTTTAAAATATTATTTGTTAGTTGCCTTTTAGTTTTTATTTGCAAAATAGGTATTTATGGTCAATTCTTACCGTTAAACCATTAAATACGCTGCCTAATATTTTCCTCTCTCATTCTTTCAGTTTATTCTTTTCCAAAATCACCGCATAGTATTTTATTTCTCTCTCCACGATCTCTCTCTCACAGCGATATTGTCTTCTCCATTGTTGAACCACAATTCTCCTTTATTAGTGCCATCGTCTCCCTCAATTTTCAATATTTTTTGCTCCAAACGTTGTGGTAAGTGTTAAAGTTTTTGGGTTTTTGGTCGGTTAAAGCTTCTTCTTTTTCTCTTCAATAGTTTTTTTTAAATATTCACCATTGTTAGGTTTTCTGCAGAATACCCGCTAAAGCACTCAATTTCGAAGGGTCATCTTTCGATACTATAAAAGCTTTGTTAGGTTTTCTGCAGAATACTCACTAAAGCACTCAATTTCGAAGGGTCATCTTTCGATTTGCAAATCACTCAAGAGGAACCTGTATTTGTAGGATCATCAGCAACCATTAAAGCCGAAACAACAACAACGACAACAACAACCCAGTATAATCCCACAAGTGGGGTCTGGGGAGGGTAATATGTACGCAGACCTTACCCCTATCCCGAGGGGCAGAGAGGCTATTTCCAGGAGACCCTCAGCTCAACACAGCGACAAGAGACGATATATTAGTATTATCAATAGACTCATAATAAAATAACATAGCATAACATAAAATAAAAATACCAGCAATATAAGAAATATAGGAAGAACCATTGAAGCCGAAAGGTGAACAAAAATACGCAATGACCCTAATTGTAGATATATTTATATGTATTCGAGTCAGCACACATTGATTTTTAGTTTGTATAGTGATTTTCTCTTCTTATCTTTAGATGTATTTATATGTATTCGATATACACTGATTTTTATTTTGTATAGTGATTTTTGACTGTTGTATTTAAATGTATTTATATGTATTTGAGCTCATACAACAACATTTTTAAATTCATTGTTAGTTATATCATTTAGATGTTATTCATCAATTAGTTATGCATTCAATCTAACTGTATTCTTCTGCATTTTCAACCTAACTGTATCCATATATATTTAAAACAACAATACAGTAAAATATAGTAAAATACTCTCAATACAAATAGAAAATTAATGAATACAACTAATGAAATATACTCAATAAAGCAGTAATACCATGTATTAGGAATAAATAAAATATTGTGAATATGAAAATAAACTTGAATACATTGAACACAACTCTTAGATACAATAGAATATAAGCACTAGGTTTATTATGAAATATGCAGGCAGAAGGTTACTATTACAGGTTGTATCCGACATAAATACATGATGTATTCATATATAGAAATCAAATTTCAAAGTAGTTTTGTAGATACTTGTATCAATTCCGAGCAAAATCTCAAACAATGTTAGGAAAAAAACAAAAAAAAGCTTGAACTGTATCAGAAAAAAGAGGGAGTGAAACTCTGAAAAATACTCTATTTTTTGGTGTTTAGCGTCTGATAAATCTTCTCATTAATTGGATTGACAATGTTGTGTGTTATAATTGATTTAGGTGAGTTATATTAGGAGTGTATCTCGTTAAGTTAGCAGCTTTCCGTTATTAAACAATTGGAACGACCTATTATTACGTTGTATTCATGAATACAGGGTATGAATACATGTGAATATAGCGGCTGACAGCTGGATTGCCCTGTAGTCGATTTTTGCTATTGTATTCATGAATACAGTAGCTCGAATACATCTAATACCATAACAACTGAAAGACAACTATGGAAAGTAATTATGTTTGTGGTAGCTATAGGAAGTTAATAGCCACTAAACAATAGTCACTTTTGGAAATTCCTCATTTCTTTTTGATAAATATATAATGTAATTTTTGAATTTTAAATCATTATTGTACTTAGAGATAATGTTTATCTTTTAGATCAGCATGTAACTATAAAAGCTCATTGTATCTGCAACAATATTTATCAAGAAATATTACTTGTTTCATGGTAACAGAAGTCTAGGTTTTCTCTCCTTTGTTGACTCATGGCTTCCAACATCTCTACCGAATCAGTTCCTTCTTCCCCAGCCTGCATCACTAATGCTTCCTCCATTCTTCCATCCTCTCCCTCTGCTATTTCCGTCTCAAACATTAAAAATCTTGTCTCTACTGTTCTTGACTATACAAACTATATGTTATGGAGAGAGCTTTTCTTACTCGTCTACAAAGGTCATGGTATTTATGGCTTTATTGATGGAAGTTTTCCCTGTCCTAAGCCTACTATTCTTCATGATGATGGTAATTCTATCCAGAACCCTTCCTTTCAACAGTGGATTCAACTTGACTCCATTGTTCTTTCATGGATTCAAGCAACAATTTCCTAGGAGATTCTTCAAGCTATTATCAAGCCAAATCATTCTCTCACTTCTAGAGACGCGTGGCTTCAAATCGAGCGTTATATTTCGTGATCAAGTTAGTTCTCGAACACTTCAACTCAAAGTCCAGTTTCATAACCTTAAGAAAGGTAACCTTTCAATTAATGAATATGTCCATCGTCTCAAATCCATTGCAGATGCGTTGACGTCCATAGGTAATCCAATCTCTGAATCTGATCTTGTTCTACAAATACTTTCTGGATTAACTCCAGAACATATGTCTATGAGCACCTCTATCTCTACTCGTGTTCCTCTTCCGACCTTTATTGAAGCACACTATCTACTTTTCCTTCATGAAGCCCAATTAAGTAGTCTCTCTAATTCTACTATGGATAATTCCACCACTGCTTTTATGGCCAAGCAGCAATCGTCTCCCTTTTAGGATCGTGGACGTGGTCATCATAACAATGGTGGGCGCCATTCTAATGGTGGTCGAGGTCGAGGTCGCTATAATCAAGGGAATACCAAATTTTTTAATGTTGGGCCTCAACAGTTCACTCCACGTCCCCGTTTTCCTTCCATCTTAGGTCCTCCAATTTCTTATCCTGCTGCTTTCAATCCATCTCAACCTAATAATGTGACGCTTTACTGCCAACTGTGCTATGCGCCACACCACACTGCTCGAGATTGTCCTTCTCTAAATTCTAAGGCCTTTGTCTCAGATACTAGTTCTAACTACTCATGTTCTTCACCTGGTGATGCCTCTTGGTTTGTGGATAGTGGAGCATCTTCTCACATGACTCCAAATGCATCCAATTTATCCTCTATTACTCCATACAATGGCTCAGATCGTGTAGTTGTGGGTAATGGAACTCAACTCCCTATTTCCTACACTGGACATGGTATTTTCTTTACTTCTGATTCTCTTTTTTCTCTTAGAGATATTTTAGTTGTTCCCCATCTTTCCACCAATTTACTAAGCGTTCGTAAATTTGTTTCGGATAATAATTGTTCTATGGAATTTGATCCTTTTGGTTTTTCTATTAAGGAACTCAAGACGAAGAAGCCTCTCATTCGGTGCAATAGTTCTGGACCACTTTATGCCTGTGAGCACGTGATTTTTGCCCTATATATGAATAATTCCCAAAATTCAAACAAAATAATTTTTCTTTATTTTTACAATTCTTGTGAATTTTGGTGTCATTTCGTGTTAATTGTTTGCATTTTATTTGTGCATGTTAATTCATATAAAACACAAAAAATATGCATTTGCATTTAGGATATAATTTTATATTTTTAGGACCGATTAGGGGTTAGTTTGTTTTAGAACCAAACATGAAAAATTACAAAGTAGCTCACTTTCGCTTTTTAATTGTTTTAATCAAAAAATTGGCGTAAAATAGGTTTTAGATTATTTTTAGAGTTTAATTAGTTTAGTTTTGAAATATATTAGGACTTTATTTTAATTGTTGCAATTCTATAAAATCAGAAAAATAATTACAAAATTACAAAGTGGAAAACAAAATAGATAAAATGAAATAAAAAGGAAACAAAGCAAAAAGGAAGCAATTGGGCCTTTTTCTGAAATTGAGCACCAGCCCAATCACGCCTAAGCAGCCCAGAACCCTCTGGTCCAAGGCGTTAGATCAAAACGACGCCGTTTGGCGTCGATTAATCCAAGCCGTCGAGGTCTCATGATCTAACGGTCGGGAAGCCCCACTCTTACACTATATAACTGTCCAAACCTTACCCCCCACCCCGGTCCTTCGCCTTCCTCACCCTAGCTCTCCTTGCAAACCCTAATCCCAGCCGCCCCAAAATCCTCGCCGGCGGCAAGTGCAACCTACACCGTTCAAACCCAAATTAACACCATAGATCCCCCATGAATCCCTCTTTCCATTCCCGCTATTGGTTTCCCTCGAATATTGCCAGAGTTCGTCGAATTTCAGTTTGAAGTTTTCCGGCCAAGTCGCAAGTTCGTCCAAACCGGCCCAAAATCATACCACACCATCCCCAGACTTCCCTCAACCCAAATCCATGACCATCTTCCTTCGAATCCCGGTGGAGTGGCTCGAATTTCAGATCTAAGAATTTCTGGCCAAAACCCTAACCCAAAATTTTTGTGATTTCAGACTGTAATATCCTTAACCATGTGTTCTCTTGTAAAAACACATGGTTAGGGATGTTACGTGTCAAAAATCCTAAAAGATTCGGACGTCGATGGCTGACCGGCGTTTCTCTTGGCATCAGTGAGCTCTCGTTTTCCTCTCTTCTGTTTGCTTCTATTCTAATACTGGCTAGTGTCCAAAGTTTTTGTCAACTCCGTCTGGATTCCATGTTTTGATTTATGGCTTGATTCTAATTTATTTTTTTCTTGGCATATTAGTTCACTCTGTTTCGATTCAAGAAGTTAGTTTAGGTTTTGATTAGTTTAGGTTTTGATTAGTTTAAGTATAATCAGAATAATTGTTCTTCACTTTAGTTTGCTAATGGTAAGTCAGTGCTAATGTGTTTTGTTGATAATTGGTCATTGGTTAAGCGGTCTTTGATCGGGATTGATTTCAGTTAGTAGTAGTTGATCATTCAATTTTAGTGTTAATTGGTGTAGTGTTTAAAATATGTGTATTGGATATAGCTGAGTAAGTCATTTGTTAATTAACTTTAGTTAAGTTTTAGCTAGGGTAAGGGACTGGGATCAGTTGACCTTAGTCTGTAGTTTTCAGACTATTAGAAGGACATTTTAGGCATAGAAAATGGCAGTTTCTTTAGGAATAGTAATTTCAAAGTAGGGATAAGGGTAGTATAGGTAGTTTAGGGGGAGAAGAGTATCCTAGGGCCTTCTAGAAGGGTATTTTAGTGTAGATTTCAGCCAACTTAGGATATTAGCTTGGGAAACAAGTCAAGAAATGAGGGACTAAACTGAAAATAGGGAAGGGACTAAAAAGAAAATCAAAAATCTGATTATTCCTCTTGGGTCACCTATAAAAGGGGGTGAAATGCCTTGAAAAGGGGGGGAGAAAAAAGAATCTTGGAGCCTAGAAGAATTCCACTAAACATGTTCTTCAGCTCCCAAATATGAAATTCTATCAGCTGAAGGACAACATTTTTCTGATTTGATTTCGAGTGGTTTCTAAAATCAAACAAGTCAAATTTGGAATCATTGGTCTCGGATTTTTGGTTGGCATGCCCGAATGTGTTTTGGGTTGATTATTTGAGTTTGCTCTGCATTCCCACTCATTTCCTGCTGAACTGTTGAACCTGGGTGGATTGAAATACTCCTTCACTGACTGTGACTGGGTTATTACCTTAGTTTCTGAGCCGCTGAGCTGTTACTGCTGCTAACCTCCTTTTCTCTATTTACATTCCAATTTCCAGGTACACTTCTTTGAACCTCACTGATGTATGCTCGTTGAAGTTGAAATGAAATGTTCAAAGGGTCTATTGTTCAACTGAAGGCAGTCTGTATTTTAACTGATATTAATCGTGTAGTTTTCTGTTATATAACTGGCAGTTATATGTATGATTAAGATTGTTCCGTAAGGTTGATTACATGTTGAATGTTGCATAACGTTGAACTGTTGAATTGGGCATTTGAAATAGCGTGAGCATAGGCTTGGTCTAATTTGAAGGTTCGTGTGAATTCAATAGTCATCAGTAGCAATTGGATCTATGTAAATGACATGTGAATTCAGGAGCAGGTCTGGTGACATTTAGCCTAGTTACTAGTACTTTTGTCATTGATCATGCTAGTGTAATAGAATGTCTGCTTTTGATTAAAGGTTCTGAAATCGATCGGTAGGCAAACCTGATTTATTGTTGGTAGATTGGCATTGAAACCAGTTAAAAATCATGAAACAAAACTCATTCACAATTGAATTAGTTCATTAAAAGCAGTAGGTCATGATAGGTAACTGGTAGGATAAATCGGTTTAGGAATTTTGGAGTTCACGGCTATCAGTTAAAATGAGGGTATGCATTGTCGTTGTGGTGACTCGTTGATGTTGTATAAATTGTTGCAGTTGGAATCGTACTCATATTCGTTGGGCCAATTGGACTGTATCAAAGCCATGAGGCAGGCCCATTCTTTATTTGAATTTGGTTCTCAGTTTACTTCAGTGTAATTCAATTCTCAATTAATTAGGCTTTTAGAGACACATAATAAGTAGGAAATCATAGTTACTTCGGGATTACTATTAGCCTCGCCTAAATAAAACCACTAATTACGGGGCCCTCAATAAATGGTTATTAAAATTGATTAGAATTTGGGATGGCCATTTAGCAAACTCCACGGTCTTCCCCAAAATAATATTACGTTAGAATCTTTAGGCGCGATTTTAATTAAAGTACCTTCTTAAACTCGGGTGCGCATTGATGCGACCCAAATCCAAATCTCGACGAAATCGAAACGTGTTGACAACCACGGGCGCATTGATTGCGACGTGGATCGAAACGCGTTTTCACAACGTCGCAATTCTTTTAAAATAAATAACAATAAAAGCGGTTTACGAATAAAAAGCACATAAGTTAGCATGTATTAAAATCAGATAAAATCAAATACAACAGTTAAGCGACCGTGCTAGAACCACGGAACCCGGGAATGCCTAACACCTTCTCCCGGGTTAACAGAATTCCTTACTCGGATTTCTGGTACGCGGACTGTTAACAGAGTCATAAATTTCCTCGGTTCGGGATTCAATCGGTGACTTGGGACACCATTAATCTCTCAAGTGGCGACTCTGAATTAATTAATAATTAAATCCCGTTCCGATTGTCCTTTAAATGGAAAAACTCCTTTACGCCCTTGCGGGTGTAGGTGAAAAAGGAGGTGTGACAGCTCTGGTGACTCTGCTGGGGATCGAACCCAGAATCTTTGGTTCAGGGTTCAGAATTCGAGCTTAGATAAATTGTTGTATTTAATTGTATCTGATTTTCCTACATAATTTATGCTGAATGTGCTAAATGTTACCGCTTTGATATTATCTGAACTGTATATAAACTGTGCCGACACCCTTCTCTCTTCACCTCCGGGGATGTGCTTACTGGTTGAGACTCCCTATTCTGTTAGTGTCATACCTTGAAATAAGAAAGAGGTCGGACAAGTTACGAAGCCGGATGGCCTTTTGGTTCCCGGTAAGTTGCCCCCTCCTCGACTCGAGTTGTCCGCTCGGGTACACAGTCTAGAACACTGACCCAGGTTTTGAACATAGAATAACGTGACTTCATGCCGGATCCCTAGTAGGAACGCTTATTTGCATCACGTTGCATTCGACTTAGGGGACTCAACACAGGGGTTGGGTCCGTCTAGGACTAGCAACCTGAATTAAAAAGACCATCCTGATGCATTCTCTTGTGCTGTGCATTTATTTGTTCCGAACCTGCATGTTGACCGGTTTTCGCATCTCGAAAATGTTGGAAAATTGAGGAAAAAGAAAAAAAAGGAAAAAGAGAAATAACAGTTAGGGAATTAATTGATTATCCTAGAAAAATCCAATGCCCAAACACTGTCGAAACTCTGCCGAAATTTTGAGAAAATGGAAAAAGGAAAATGCGTTATTTCTAATAGTCTCTTTTACTAAAAGCAAAGGAAAATAGGAAAAATAGTCTTTTATTTTTGAAAGTGTTTGTTGAAAAATAAAAATAAAAAGTCTTTTATTCTTAGTTTAGAAAAATAGATTGTTTATTGTTTGTTGGAAAAGAAAAATGAAAATGAAAAATTGTTTTAAAATAGTTCGGTTAGTTGCCCGAACTACACATGGTTTGATTCTCACAGGGCGTGAGATACGTAAGCAATCTTCATCGGGTCCAACCTTCCTTTGCAAAAATAGCCGAAAAAATTTCAAAATTTTATTTTTGTCGTAAATAAGTTGGGTGATGCCGTTTTGTCAAAAATAGCCAAATGTTCCCAAACGGAACGCCGGAAGGCTGACTTTGCAAAACGGCCATCTTGGTCAATTTTGATTGTTGACCGGTTGACTCTTGCAGCCTTAAAATCTTTGTTCCCGAAGTACCGAAAGGCCGCGTTTGAGAGTCGAGTCCTTCATTTTTTTAAAAAAAAAAATCTGAAAAATATAAATAGTTTTTTTTTGAGTCGAAAAAAATATAGATA